CAGTGAATAAAGATATACATGAAAGGTTCATGTTTAATCCATATTCAATTGTTTTTGAAGTTTATTTATTTATTTTTTTTTTAAAGGCTAAAAAATATTAATTTATGAACTAATTATTTATTTTTGATAGATATCGTTCGTTACTAAATCGTACGTATGTTGACGATAATGAATATTTGCGATGGTGTCCTGCTCCTAGTTGTGAATATGCTATTGAATGTCATGTTCTACCCACTTCACTCATAAGCATCGTCCCAACAGTTGAATGTGCTTGTACACATCGCTTCTGCTTTGGCTGTGGTCATCCAGATCATCAACCTTCCATTTGCGCTCTTGTAAGGAAATGGATTAAAAAATGTGAAGATGATTCCGAGACAGCTAATTGGATTTCTGCTCATACAAAGGAATGTGGGAAATGTCATTCAACTATTGAAAAGAATGGTGGATGCAACCATATGACCTGTCGTAAATGCAAATATGAATTTTGCTGGGTCTGTATGGGTCCTTGGTCAGAGCATGGTACTAGCTGGTACAATTGTAATCGTTATGATGAAAAGACTAGCATAGACGCAAGAGATCAACAAGCAAAGTCTCGTGCTTCTTTGGAACGATACTTACATGTATGTGTTTGGTTTGATTTGATTCTCTCGTATATTTAATTTGAATCTTTATATATCACATCAAAAATAAATTTTTTTTTCTTTCTTTCATTCAGTATTATAATCGATTTGCAAATCACGAACAATCGGCAAAGTTGGACCGTGAATTGTACAACAAGACTGAGAAAAAGATGGAAGAGATGCAACAAACTTCTGATTTATCTTGGATTGAGGTTCAATTCCTTAAAAAGGCTGTTGATATCCTCGTTCAATGCCGTATGACGCTCAAATGGACTTATGCTTTTGCCTTTTACCTTGCTCGTAACAATCAAACTGAAATCTTTGAAGATAATCAGCGTGATCTTGAAATGGCAGTCGAACAGCTTTCAGAGTTGTTGGAAAAACCTATCGAGGCCGACAAAATTGCTGAACTGAAACAACAAGTATTGGATAAAACTGTTTATGTCGGAAGTCGAAGAGAGGTATTATTAGAAGATACCGCCAAAGGATTGCTTGAATCCCGTTGGGAATTTCAAGTAGATATTAAAAGTTAAAAAAATTTATTATGTGAAATTTCGAGATTAAGTATTCACCGAAGTGCAGTTTGATTTTTAAAGTAGGTATATATTAGGAGAAATTCTGGAATAAAGGGAAACTACTTTGGCGGTTAATAACTTTCTTTATGTCAAACGTACATAAATTAAAATTATATTATTTTCCTGATCTATTATTAACTTATGGTACACAAATTTTTTTGCACTACTAATTTACTAAATATATTATTATTCACAAAATAGTTCATGAAAATTGTATAATTTATATAGCATTGTTGAATGAAATCAAAAGGCAGTTAACACAAAAATATATCAGGGGATAACGGTTGCTCGTTCATGATTCAAAATATTCAAAGTTCTTTAAACCAATTTTATTTTATTTCTTTTTTTTTCTTTGTAACTTTTTTTTTTCCCCTCTCCTCTTGTTTAATATATTCCATCTCTCTCATTTTTTTTTTTTATATATATATATATATTTATATATATATATTAACATTTTTTTTTTTTTTTTTTTTTTTTTTTTTTAAAAAAAAAAATAACTTGGGAGAAATTGTTCTTTTTCATTAAAAAGATAAATGTTATTTATATAACCTGTGTAGAAATATACAAGACTTTAGAACTATTAATAACTAGTAATTATAATTCTTTACAATTTGCAAATTGAATTAGCACAAATCTAAAATTTGAGCAAATAACTATCAAGAATCATCAACAACAGAATCAAGTGTATCATTTTCCTCATTTAATAAAGAACTAGTAATCTTTTTAAAATTATCCCAAACACTCGGATATACCATCGAATCCCATTTTAGTTGCAACTCATCAACAATTTCACCAAGTGAAGAACTTCTTTTTACAATAAGTCGAATGTAAGGTTCACTATTATCATCAATTTTTGGATTTTGAGGACGAAATTCAAGGCGAACCTCTTCATCTGAAGGATCTGGATGATGAAGAGGGTTAATATAATCAATAAAAGATCTTTGCTGAGAATTACCAGTAAGATCTAACGTTGGTAAAATATCGGTTACTATGTCTGGAATGTGAATGTGTGACGCTTCAATTTTGTCGTCATCAAATAGATGAACTTCGAGTTTTATGTGAGAATGTTCACGAAGCCATTCAAGGATTTCTATTGAGATGATTTTGAATCAATAAATTTACATAAATAAATGAAAGAAACTGGATTAACTTAAAGATTTGTTTACCCGGTTTAGTTCCAAGGATCAAGAATCTTGAAGAATTTACGACAGAAAGACTAATCACTTCGGGTGTTTTTGCAGGAGTAATAATTTTCCCCCCTGTTGCAGTTGTATTATTGACTTGTTCACCTAAATGTCTTACAATATTTAGTTCTAAACTTTTTAAAAAAAAAAAATTACCCATTTAAAATAACAAACCTAATTACAAACCTATCACATATCCATACTTTAGAACCATTATAATAAATAATAAAAAGTTTTTCAAATTCTTGAGAATACCGTATTTTCGAAAATTTTGAAATACATTATGTGAAATAACATGATTGGGTACTAAATAAAAACGTTAAATTAATCGAGGTATTTTTTTCACATATCATCCCCATATTTGTTCATATGCTCCGTATTTTTTGTCAATCGAAAGAGAGCTACTTAATAATTAATCTTTATCAGAGCATACTTTAAAAAAAATAATTTCCGGTTTAATACTGTAAAATTTATTATAAATAAATAAAATGTATATAATAATCTTATATTTAAATTTCTAAATGTAAAAATATATTCAAAAAATTTAATCTAAAATTTATTATTTATAATAAATTAAAACTGCTTTATTATAAAACTTGATTTTTAATAAAATCTTTTGATTATTAATATACTATATTTTTACTTATTTGTGAAATTAAAAAATCAATGCCAAAATATTATGTTATAACAAAAAATAATTACATTAATTATAATTATTATTAATAAAAACATATAATTATAGTGAATTATATTATTATATTACATCTGTTATAATTCAAAAAATCAATTTCATATCAAAGTATATTTTCAAAAATGATATTTTAATAATTAAAAAGATTAATTTAAATTACTTTTTTAATATATATAAAACTAAAATAGAGCTATTAAATTTAAATATAAATTTTATATAATATTTTATTATATTTTAACAAATTTTTCTTTTATTTTCTATTAAAAAAAAACAATTTTTTTTTTATTTAATAAGTTAAAGTATTAAAATTATTTATTAAGTTTAAAATTACTTATTTTTATAAATGTTTAACTTATATTTATAAAATAAATAAATAAAAAATTTTATTTTTTTTTATTTAATATTTTAAAATTTTAAAATTTAATTATTTTAAAGTATTTTTTAATGATATAATATTATTATTATTAATTTTAATTTTAATTAGTTTAATTAATCTTAGTTTTAAATTTAATAAATTTTACCAATTTTATTATCCTTTTAATTGTTTTATTTAAAGTAATTTCTAATTATTTTTAAATATTTTAAAATATGTTAGTAAAAATTAAAAAAAATGTAATTAATTAATAATTTTTTAAAGATAAATTATTATTAAAAAAAATTAAATTTTAAATTCATATATCTTACTATTTATTAATTTTAAAAATATAAAAATAATATTATTTAATAGATTTTAATAAGAAGAATCCAATAAACTAAATTTTATTTTTAAATATATTTTAATATAAAAAATCTAATAAACTTTATTTTATCTTTTTATAATCATTAGATATTAAAATATTTAATTTTTTTTAAAAATGATTTATAAATAATTTTATACTTAATAATTTAAAAAATAGGTTTTATTATATAACTAAAATTAGTTTAATTAAATTTTAAAATTAATGATAATATTTTTAAATTTAAGTAAAGTAGTTTATTTTTAATTTTTCAAAAAACTTATTTTAAATAATTTTATTAAAATAAAATTTTTTATATTTTTAATAATACAAAAATATTATTATCATTGTTAATAATTAAACAATTATATATATTCCAAATAATGCAAATAAACAATTGGATAATTAGACTTAATCTAATTATTAACTATTTTTTAACCAATTAAAATGTATAAAATAATATATTAAAAATTTATAAAAGACCTAAAATATTAATTTTATTTATTAATTTTCATCTATAATAAAACTATTCAAATAATTAGATAATTCTAAAATAATTAAAAATATATTACTTAATATCTATTTTGCTTGTATATCATTTACAAAATGTATTATTTGAGAAATATTATTTACAGTAATATTAAAATTTTCAATTAAATTTGTTTCTTCTATTTTATTTCTAATTCTTGTATTTTATTATCTATAAAATCGATCTAATTTATTATTATATTTTGCCAATCATTAGTTTATTTTTTTATTATTATTTATAAATTTTCATTTTCTTTATTATTACTTTCTATTCTATATCTGATACATTAAAAGATATACATTTATTATTATTAATTAATTTTCAATATCTTTAGGAAGATTTGAAATTATTTTTTTATATTACTAAACTTCTTTATCAATTTATAAAAGTTATTTATTATATTGTATTTTGACTCTAATTTGAGTCATTTTTAAAACCTTTTTAGCCTATTTAAAATATAATTATTTATTAAATAAATAATAAAAAATTATATAAATTATAAAATAAAAACATTACCTTTAATCAATTTCTTCTTTTGAATAATACTAATTTATAATAGAAAATAATCTTTTTAAAGAAACAATTGAAACTGTAATTGAAAAAATACATATCTATTTTATATAATTTTTTTTGAATATCTTTATATATAATTCTAAAATCTTAATATATTATTTTTAAATTGTTTTGCAATTGCATCAGTGTATAAATATTATTTTACAAAATAATCTTCTAATTCAGATAATGAAATATTAGAATTTTCTTGAAACTAAGTATAATAATAATATTATATCTATTTCTTAAATAAAAAAAAGATAAATTTAATTTTGAATTAAATTTTAAATCATAATATAATAAATAAAGTAAAAAAAATAATAGAAAAGTGATTATTCCTATTGTTTTATTGATGTTCAAATTTTTTTAAAAGAATATATTTAAAATTTGATTATTTAAATTTTTTAAACTTTCATTATACTTTCAAATCTATAAAATACTTTATATAATTATATATTATATCTTTAAATTTTGTTTAATGCTAAATAATATAAAATTAAAAGTTCTTCTATTTTTATAATCTAATGTCATTAATTGTTATCAAGAATATAATTAAGAATATTTTTTAGGAAAATCATATCTACCTTTAATCATATTTTTGTAGCTAAATTCTAAAATAATAATTTTTTTTTTAAAATTAAAAATTATAATACTCATAAAACCTCTTTTATTTTTAATAAATTTAAAATAATAGTAATAAGAATTTCATTATATTATATCAGAAGAAATTAAAGCAATTTGTAATTTATATATGTTTATTTGTTCAATATAAAGATATCTAAGCCAAACTTTTGAATGACTAAAAAATATAATGATTCCAATTATTTCTTTTATAGTATTATTTAAACTTGATGATTTTTTAAATATATCTTTAATACATAAATTCATTTGATGTGTAAAATATAATAAAAATAATTTGCCTCAATATTTAAGGCATAATCATTTTTTATTAATTAAATATATATTATAATAATATACTTTTAAAAAATAGAATTACCTTGCTACTGTATTTTTTGATACTAAATCTATAATTAATTCATTTATTTATATGTTTTATTTTTTCAATTCTTCAAAAGTCTTTATAGTTTTATTATAAACAATTTATCATATACATCTTTTACCACTTATATTTTCTACTTTCTAAATAATCATATTATTTGAAGATATAAATAATACTAAATTTAATAAATTTTGTTTTGAGATATTCTTCTAACCATCAAATGCTAATATTATACCTAATTTATCATCTACTACTTCTTTAAGAATATTTTTATTATTTTATTAGTATTTTTTTAAGAATGTATCTACTTAATTACTTATAAGTTGATAAAAAAAGCATAAGATTAATTTATTTAAACAAAGACTTAATTACTAAATTTTCAATTCAATTAAATAGTAAATTATATATTATTATTACATTTAATAATAAATGCTCAAATATATTAGCTTGTTCTAGTTTTAATTCATAATATATATAATTGTCAAGTAGACTAAAACTTTAATATAAAATATTAGAAGTTTCACTTATATTACTTTTCATATTGCAATGAATAGAAATTTATAAAAAAAATTGTTAATATTTGAAATTATAGACTTATTAGATTCATCTTCAGATATTTTATTTGTTATATATTATTACTTATTACTTTTTTTAAATTCATAATTCAATGCTGTATTAATAATATCTGCAATCTTTTCTTTATTTTTCAGCAAAATATAAATAATTTTTAAGATGTTTTACATATATACATTTAGTATTTGTAAATTTTTATTTTTGAGTTTCACTAGATCCTAAAACTTAAATATAATTTATACAAATAGCATCATTATTTCACTTATTTGATTTTTTATCTAAATTAAAAAGTATTTATTAAGTTTATGTTTTTCTTGTATTTTGCTAATATTATAATTATAAAAAATTAGCTTATACTATTAAAGTAATAATAATAAAAATTTATATTTATTATTATTTATTATTTATCTTTATTAAAAGTTAAAAAATATAGAATAACAAAAAATTGAAAAAATAAAATCAAAAAAGTTATACTATTTAGAATTTAGATAAACTTTGACATATGATATATAAATTAGTGTAGTATAATATAAATCAGAATTATCTATTAAAAAGAAATAATTCAGTTTGTTATAAGTTTAGTTTAGATTAGTTAACAGGTAGAAAACAGTTGATTAACAGGTAGAAAATACTAATAAATTAAATTATAAAAAATGAATTTTATTGTATAATTGTTAATGTTACAAAATGATTAATAAAATGATAAAATTTAAAAAATAATTAAAATTAATTAATAAAATTCTTGAATTAATACATAAAAATAAAAATTAAATATTTTTTAATTCTTATTATAATTCATAAAAACAAAATAATTTTATTTCTTAAAATATAAGTTAATATTTGTATACTAGTTTATCTACTAAGAAAATATAACATATATTTATCTCTGAGATTTAAAATTAGGTAAAATTAACTATTTTTTTCTAAAAAATATAAAAATACTATAAACAAAGATTATTAAAAAACTCTTTATAAAAGAAAATCTAAACAAAAATATACTTAAAAAGACAGCAACCTAAAAAAATGAACAAATTAAATGTTATTTTTTTATCATAAATTTCAAAAAAAACTCTAATTTTATTTAATAAAAAATCTAAGAAGTTTTAAAAAACAAAGAAAAAAAAATGAAGTTAAATATTATTTCTTAATAGTA